CTTTTAAGAATTATAACTTGAAGTGAAATTTCTTTTAAGAATTATAACATGAAGTAAAATTTCATTAAGAATTATAACATGAAGTAAAATTTCATTAAGAATTATAACATGAAGTAAAATTTCATTAAGAATTATAACATGAAGTAAAATTTCTTTTAAGAATTATAACATGGAGTAAAATTTCTTTGAGGATTCAATGACATTGAAGTGAAATTACCTTAAGAACGAAGTGAAATTCCTTTGGAAATTAAATGACATTGAAGTGAAATTCCTTTGAGAAATAAATGACATTGAAATGAAATTCCTTTGAGAATTAAATGACATTGAAGTGAAATTCCATGGAGAATTAAAAATCTTAGTTTGGATTTCATGAAGTGGAAATACCCTTGAGAATTGATAGCCTGGAAATGAAAATCCTATGAGAATTAAACTGTCAGTTATTGCTTAATATTGATTTTCACTTCCAACATTATTGAGTATCAATAATAAACAGTTTAAAATGATTGATTATTGATAGTTTAATTATCTTATACATGTATAAGTCTTTATATCAACAAAACACAGCATAATGAACATGGTGATAAGTTGTTATCCTGATTCTTAATATTGATTGATTGTATAACTTGATCATGATGACATTTCAAATACAGAGGATCTTAATATGTGCATACGTAATATGAAATGTGTTGCCAGAGTTAACATTACTCGAGCCTTGGTAAAATTATGTTATTTGAAACAATTTCATGCAATTTACCTTCAATTTACGTGGTGTGTAAATACATGACCTCATTTGCATAGTTATTAACCTGTGCTACAAGTTCATATCGTTTTTATGAACCCGTGGTATGTACCCGAGAACAGAATTGTTGTGTGATAAATTTAATTATGGCTTCATGGCCAGATCCTCTCCACAATGTCAACCTATTATGTAGTGCATCTAATACCTTGACTGCATTAGCCACCATTCTTGTATCATAGGAGTTTGTTGGATTGTACACTAGCAAATTAGGACCCTCAATAAAAAGAGTGTAAACAGTTTAACTGGGTGTGTAAGGGCTGTGATTTGCAGTATTCGCTATCACACTAATGCTAATGATATTAAAGGCTGTTAAAACTGTGTTCTCAATACACTGTTTTTTTTAAAAAACCTCTCTACAATCCCTTTGAAAAAGTTCATAATTTTTATCAAGTATTCTTAGGCCACAATAGAAGAGATATTTCTCCATAAAATGAAGACTATATTTCAATCAGATTAATGAATTATTAGTAATCTATTCTACTAGAAGTTGATAACAATATATCATCTGTATAGATTTTAATTAATTCTTATAGCTATCACTAATAAATAAATTATGATTTATACACAATGTTACCAATATGTGAACTGATAAATCATTAATTATATTGTCAGTTTCCTTTGTCAAATTTTGTTATTAGTTTACAATTACAGATGAGAACTGACGTAGCTCAGCGAATTAGGAGTCTTGTTTTACCTCAATTTACCCTCATTGCCCATGCTGATCATAATGTATGATAGTATTTTTGGCAATTTTACCTAATTGCACACTGCACATTACAGTTAAAATAATGATAAGTTTATGATGGTGTGTTTGATGATAATTTTCCCCTTCATTGCACACTGCTCATTTTAACCATAATATATGATATGGTTATTATGATGTATTTAGCAATTTTCCCTCTTTGCTCATTCTGATCATAATAAAATATGTTTATACTAGTGTATAAAGAGAGAGATTTCAGGCTAGGTACAAATCTGATATCTTACCATTATGCTTGTGCATATTTACACAACTTTAATCTTATTCAATTCATACAAAACATATATTTATTCAGGATATACTAACCCAGAGTAAAGGGACAAATATACTGAAATCCTTGTGACCCCTTCATGTCTTATCCAACAATCTCGTACCCTAGTGTGTTAAGTTTGTTTTGATTTGATTTTAGTCTAAAATACCATTTTTTGCATGTTAGGAGTCTGGAGATTCCAGCAGGGGAGGTAGCTCTGTGAGTCTGAACTACCAGACAAATGAATCCGCTTTTCAACTTTTCTTATATCGTTGGCCTTATATATCCGAAAGTTACTAAGTAACACAGTCGCTTAGAGTGCTGGAAATTTACTGGCATCATTTTCAAAATTTTGTCATGGTGGTCATTGGTTCTTATCTTGGTCAGCATGTAAAGTCTGATGACCTTTAATAAGTCATCTTTCCTCATCATTCCAGTCTATCTATGTAAATAGGAACAGATAATCCTTTCAAGATCAAAGGCAAGGACCAGCTAGAAAGGATCTTAAGTGAAAAATGGATGTAATTCTTTTCTTTCCCTCAGTGTAAATTTTGATGTCATTGCCAATGTTATAAAAAAAAACAGAATGAGTTTAGAGTTTGACTGATGTTGACGTTAATCCATTGATCAACTGATAGCAATACTGTAACATTACTTATACTCCCGCCAAACTTTCAGCCATTACAGATATTCATGTCAAATTTCGACCTCGACAGACGGGAGTGAATGTAAGAATTGATCTGATATTGGATAAAAAAAAAACTTATTTAGCTTCTGTATTGACATTGAGTGTTTATAGTCTCAACATTTCTTTAAGGTGGAATGTAATAAAATACTCTTATTTGCTTTAGGCTATATTTTTTTAATATTTTATGTCTTTTAGAAGGTATTATTATGTTTTTCCTTTTCAAAGCATTAAAATTCTTTTGACACCATACAATAGTGGAAGTAGACCAAGAAGAAGTCCTCGAGTTGCTGTTTTAATCTATTCATAGATAGTGCCAAAATCAACAAAAGTTTTGGTATATGCTTTAAAGGGAAATCTGGACTGCAGAATAAAAACAATTGGCTGCAGAATAAAAACAATGGGCTGTAGAATAAAAACAATGAGCTGTAGAATAAAAACAATCGGCTGCAGAATAAAAACAATGGGCTGCATAATAAAAACAATGAGCTGTAGAATAAAAACAATGAGCTGTGGAATAAAAACAATGGACTGCATAATAAAAACAATGGACTGCACAATAAAAACAATGAGCTGTAGAATAAAAACAATAAACTGCCACTGCAGAACTATAGCAGTGAAATATATCGAAAAAAGGCTCATAAGAAGGAGTGAAAATGGAGATTCATTTGAGGTTATTTGGCAAACCCCAAGACATTTTTCAGCATCATACTAAATTTTGTATATGTCTCATTTTGTATTCTATAATGTCAAAAGTTTTTAACAGAAAATATCTATTTAAATTAGGCTACTTGAGCCATTTTTACTCAAGATTCTTATATTTTATATTAAACATGCAAGGATAGACGTGTAAAAGTTAATAAAGTTCAAAAGATTTAACAAGTAGATCTAATATAAATGATATAACATTAAGTGTTTGTTTTGTAGCATTGGTTCTATATGAGAAAATGTAATTCAAGTTTTCTATTTTGTGCAGTTTAATTTGGTGGGAACGATGTTACTACTTGACTTTTGATTAATAGGTGTAGTTAAAAGTTTAATTTATGTGTTGTAGTACTTGATGAACAAGATAGCTTACCAATTTCAATGAACACAAACCTGTTTGGTTGACGAAAGTTAATATCATGGACTCATTAATATATGTCCATTGTTAACAGTTGATGTAGAATAACATTTAGATTTCAACTTACAAGAAAAGCATTTTAACTCTTAATTCATGTGGTTTCAAATGCTTGATAACTATTAAAGGGATAGGTTCACCACTGGTTTGACCAATCATACCTTAGTCTCAGAAATGGGAAATTTGTTAGCTAAGCTAATCAGTAATAGTGTTCACAGCTCACCGTCGAAATTTGAGCCCTCAATTTCATACGTGACGAGAATTATCCTCGTTTGAAAGTTGAAATTATGACTCATTTTTTCATGAGACTCTGCCATAATAGAAATAAATAGAAAGTAAAATTTCTAGTTTGAGATATATTTGAAGGGATTTTGCCATTTTTTGTGCAGTCCTAGTATTTCTGAAGAATATTTATATACACAAATATTTTCACATGAAAATGGTGAACCATGGCCTTTAAATTTTATTAAGCACAATTCTCACAATAACAAGATAAAACCTTAGGCAAAAAAGGTGGATGAAAGGTTTCAAATTCAAAGAGTTGCACACTTATTTGCCTTTATTTAATATAAAACCCTAGAAAGGTTTCCACCCTTAATGAATGCTTCAAGATGTTATATAGGACTGTGTATTAAAAAAAAGTGCTGGACTTGTTCAACGGGCGTTTAAAAATGGCCCTAGATGTCAGCCAAAATACAAAAATTGACGACCACTCACTAATTGGATAAAAAGTCATCAATCAGGAGGATATAAAATAAACCAATCACCAGCTTCGTTATGTGACAATCCGACATACTGTAAAATATCTGTATTGGGAATATACTCTCTTACAGAGGCACTGGCCAAGATCACAAGAAGAGAATATATTTCTTTTACATCAACAACATTTCTGAAAAGACTGAAATAATACATGCTTATAAATAATGCCCAAAAATTGTTTAAAACACATAATGCTATTGTTTCAGAGAATTAATAGAATGAGGTCCAATTTGCCATGGACAAGTAAACTACTTAGAATTTTGTTTCTTTTGAAAGCAGTAACCAAACATTTAGTGAAAATATTCTGAAATTGATCTTGAAGTTGGAATTAAGAAAAAAACACATGTTTATGACTACAAGACTTTGCTAATGAACATGGTTCTGTAAACCAATTCTGCCATATTTTCTATCAATCAGTTGAATAAGATATATATTAATTTAAAAAAATTCCAAATTATGGCAAAATCGAGAGTAAATGTTGTATAGTAATGTACTCCGCCAAAGAGAAGTACCATCAGGTGTTCCAATAAGCTTAAGCATGGACTGCTTCACATTCTATTTCTGGACATGATCAACTCAAATCAGTTCCCTCAATGACTGTTTTTTTTTTAATCTTTCCAGGCCAAGAAGAAAGATCAACTTCTGAGAGCTCAGAAAGATTTAGAGGAGCAGCTGAAGAAAGAGGAAGATGAACTCTTTGCTAAATTGGACAGTGAGAAGAAAGCTAACTCTCAGAATATTAATGAAGAAATTAGTAAAGAATGGGAACAAAGATTAAAAGATTTAACTGAGAGGTTTGAGAGAGATACAGATAAGAAGAGAAAGAAGCTGAAAGATAGCGAAAAGAAGGTAAGTTATATGGGTACTTTGTGGCCAGAAATTGATTCTGCTGGTGGTCAAGACTCTCAATTCCCTCCATTGTCTCAATGTTATGCTATTACAAAATTTGTGTTATACCTTGACTACAATAGCCACCTTTCTTGTGTCATGGAATGCAGCGATTTGATTGGATTGTACACCAGCGAATACAGCCAGTCAGAGTTCTCGACAGAAGGACTGTAATCATTATCGCTTACATATGTTAAGCTCTTTAAGCTGTTTTCGCTAACCTACAGGTCAAGCTTCAACCTTATAATATTTAAACTCTCTAGCCTAAGAAAAGTAAAATGTAAAACTTGATTCAATTCATTAATATCAATGAGTGCAATATTAATTTGAGTAAACTTTAAGATCAAGGTGGGTCATTGTATAAATTTAGGTTTTGACTTACATTTTGTCCTTTCAAATTCAAATTGGTCAGCAATTAAATATAGTTACACAATAGTAGCTAATACTGATATACTTAATATCTTTCCTTAGTAATAGATAGATAATAGATCTGAATGATATACAAAAAAATTGTCCTATACAGATAGGGTGTGTGACTATTTATGTTTTATTTTATTGCATAGAATGCTATATAGAAGTTTATTGAAATACTTTGGTGTGGCTATTTAATTTACAATGAAAGTGCATTGACCTACTTAATTTACTTTTTAAGACTAAACAGTGCTTTCCTGAGTGCTTTCCTGAGTACTTATTTTAACTTTTTGGTTTACTTACTTACTACTATTTCTGATTTCTGAATTTTTGACTGAAAACATGCTGACAAAAATGTGTTTAGGTAAAATTTGTAATTAATTAATTCTTGTAGGTTCTATTTGATAATCAAATATGATGATTTATGCTTAATAACAATTTTATGGAATAGATTTATCTCAACAACAATATATTATCTAGCAATACAAGTAGTATTTCTATAGTTCTCATAGAATTCTATATTTCTATATCACTCTACAATTGATGTATTGAGCAATATTTTAACAGTGATAATGTTTTGTTCTTGTAATATCTTTACTATCCTCATTATCTTGAAATTGTGAAATGCAGATATCTGGTTATTCATTTGAGTATGAAATTTCTCATTGGTAATTTAGTATGTAATATTTGTTTATCAAATACTATAACACATTTATATGTAAATTGTTTTTGACCAATTATACTTAATCTCAGAAACCATCAGCAATAGTGTTCACAGCTCACTGTCAAAATTTGAGCCTTAAAATCCACATGTGTGTCCAGAATTATCTATGTTTGACTGTTAACATGACAACAAGTCAATTTAAGATACTCTGTGATATATAGAAAATTTATATAGAAATAGTGAGTGAAATTCCTAGTTTGAGATATTTTGAAGGAGTTATGCGATTTTTCGTACTTTTACATATATTTCAGACTCAAATCAACCCCCAAAAACTTGTCCCTTTAACATAACAAGTGAGATTAAAAAAGTGAAAAAAAAAAGAACCCAAACATACAATTCTATGAAATGATATGCAGATATTTCAACAGCACTTCAAGATTGAGAAATGCAAACCGTATAACAATGACAAATTCTAAAACTGTTATCCATGAAAACCAAAAATAAAATTTGAATCACCACTTTTGTACTTCCCTAATCCTATTTGCTGTTGTGATAAGGGTCAGGGAGAGACTTAAAGAAATGTAGAGTTTTGCACAGGTGGCAAATTATTTTGTTTACATTCAGAAGAACCTAACCATATTATGATGTCACTATTTGAATCAACAATAAGCATTGTGGCGGGGGTGAAATTGTTACATCATATAGCAACTTTTTTTATGGAATAAAAGGTAGCGCCAAGTATCGATACACAACATTACGATATGCGTTTCGTGACATATTGTATCACGATACATTGATTCACCCATATATCGTGCCAGCCCTAATACACACATGAAGAAGACGAGTGAGTTCCTTTAAAACAAAATAGGAAGTTAATGATGTACTTATTACAAGCGCAGTAACATAGCACCATTTTGTTTTAGGTTTTGTTAGTCCATTTTCAAGGCATGCCACCTATAATTCAATATGTTAATTTTCATTACAGATGATGACAATTCAGTTTGAAAATGAGAAGAAATCCTTAGAAAATACCATGACATTGAAGAAAGATAAGAAACAGAAGACAATGACCTTGAGATTGAGAGAGAAAGGTCAAAGAGCTACGTCTGAAATGGTGAAGAAACAGAGCACACAGATGTTACAGATGTTGGCTGCTAAACAAGAAGAATTAAAACAAGAAATAGTGAAAGAATTGGAGAAAGAGACAGAAATAGCTGTAAGTTACCATTGTGAAATGTTGATTTTGATCAAGGTTAACTACCTTGACAACTATGTAGCAGAGTGGAAATCAAGTGACTCAAGTTTTGGTTGCTTGTGAATGGTTCCTGTTTTATCACCCCCTCCCCCACCCTTTGAAAGAATAGAAATCACTTCATGAAAGGGCTGTTTTCAAGACTAACCAAAATGGGACAGATGGATCAGAAGAAAAATTCTGAGCTTTCATGAGCTAGTCTGGTGTTAACCTCCTCTTCCCCAAACATTAAACATTTAGCTAATGGAAAATCTTCGATTTTTTTTAGCAAAAAGATCCAGCTCTGTATGCTACATTGGGTAAGAAGAGTGGATTGAATATTGTTGGTGGTTTAATGGATGAAGATCCTATTGAAGCTCTACAAGAAGCTATTGAAGTCCTGCAGAAACCAGCAGTAATAGAACCACCATCCCCTCATCCACCATCATGTCGTAAAAAAGAACTGTTTGATGGTATTAGCATCTTTAATGATATTGATGAACAAGTCATCAAGGTGGGTTTTATGATCTATTTGTTCTATATATGTTATACCTTTTATGGCTTTTGAAAAGTGATTAGGTTTCGAGGAAGGGAGGTATGCTTTTGAATCATGATTTGAATTTGAAATCTACCATCAGATGTAGTTTGGAAATAGAGCTTAAAGAGCCTATTGACACCTCTGTTGGGTCTGAAATCCTCATTATAGAAGTAGTTTTGGAAAAAAAGGGTTAATATGTGTCATATGGCATATTGGTGGGTGGATATTGTGAAATTTTGTATGTTCCACATCTCTTAAATTGCTTTGATATCCTTATTCAATGAGGTTAGTTTTGTTGTAAAGTCCCTAATATGATGCTTTAGTGTAGGCCTTACTGTTTATATATGCATCATTTTTGATTCCAACATGCATCATTTTTGATTCCAACATACTATAAGCAATGATCAATACTAAAAATTTCAGGTGGCTGAAACTGATCAAGAAACACATACAGAACTTATTCAACAATTAACAGAGAATTTAATAACAGATCTAGAGAAAGCAAGGTAAATAACAGATTTTGTTATATTCAAAGTCCATAATTCGCCATTTTCGGGCTAGATTTGGGTCTAGAATATAATTAATTAAATTGTCTTCAGAAGTACTAGACTGCACAAAACCAGCATAATCCCTTCAAATATACCTCAAACTAGTAATTGCACTTTCTATTTCTGTCTTTAGTATATAATATGTCTTTTCAATATCTTATTTAAATAACAGAGCTATATATAGATGGATAACAGTAAAAGATCTAAATGTAATGGATTTTAATGAAGTAGCAGAATCTGATACACCTATGGGATTGTTACGTGGTATTAAGTTTGGTACTGAAACATATCATGTCCTGTTCATGAGGCTTTGCAGGTATGTATCTGAGCTTGACATCAAAATCTGATGCCTCAAATATGGTAGATTGTGTACATTTTTATATCTCTAGTAGACTTCTTAAAGTGAATGAACATAAAATTTCTCAAGAATGGTCAATATGAGTATATATTCATCAGTGAACTTACCTCATAAAGTTACAACAGAATCCTTGTAAGATTGGAAAATTCATAAAACTAAGTAATTATTACTAAGTAATAGTTAATTGCATATTTATGGATAATTACAAAGTTTTTTGGATTTATCGGATTATAAAAGGATCCTGTTATGTTATTTATGACACCAGGTATATCTACCAAGTTTAAAATTCTTAAATTTTATGTTCATTCTAAGACGAAGTATCACTTTAACAAAACATTTTGAATTTGAGTTTTTTGTTTTATATATTAATATGACAAATCACATGCGTCATAGGACTGGGTCACAGTTAGATAAAATCTTTTTGAGAAAACTGTTTCATTAAAGAAGTTTTCCCAATTCTGAGCTGGAGACACCATTCAGAAAACATTGCTTAAGGCTAATGGGAAGTAACTCTTTTCATGTAAGGCTAGCATATGACTGAAAATCTTCCTTATAAAATTACTAAGATTAACCCTTGAGTGCTGAGTGTCAGAAATTAAAACATGACACACCCTTTACTTCAAGTTATATAACTTTCAGCACATGATGTTGATATTAGCTGACATCCCTGGCTAGAGTTGTTTACTATTATATAACGGGTATATAATGTGTGCCGATAGTGCTGCAGCGAGTGTTGAATGGTATAAATTGAAGAGTTTAGAATCATATCATCTATGCCAACTATTGACAGCAGCTTTTCTTTAGCACCTATCACCATGGAAACAACAAAATGTCCCAATGACGATATTTTTATATTTTTAAAAATTATTTTCTAGTTATGCTGGGTTACATTGTGTAGAAATTAAAGGGCATTCTAAAAGTGTTGGTTATGAACCAGGTATGAAGATAACACCAGAAACTTTCCAGAATACTTGGAATGCTGTATTAATAGAAGGTGATTGGAGACTGATTCAGTGTAACTGGGGAGCCAGGTAAGCACTTCAGTATTGTGAAGACTTAAAGAGTTTTGGTAGCTGAAATTATCCAGATGAAATAGTTCACTTGATGTGTGCCACAATTACCTAGATTATGCCATTTCCATTTCAGACATCATTGTATATTTCAGTTTCTATTCAGAAATACATCTTTATACATATCAGTTCTATGTATTCACAAAGAAATCGTTGTATTTTACAAACAAAGATATTGTATATTACAAAGATATCATGGTATATTACAAAGATATCATTGTTTATTACAAAGATATCATTGTATTTTACAAAGTTATCAGTGTATATTACAAAGATATTGTTGTATTTTACAAAGATATCATTGTATATTACAAAGATATCATTGCATATTACAAAGATATCATTGTATATTACAAAGATATTTTTGTATTTTTCAAAGATATTGTTGTATTTTTCAAAGATATCATTGTATATTACAAACAAAGATATCATTGTATATTACAAACAAAGATATCATTGTATATTAGAAAGATATCATTGTATATTAGAAAGATACCATTGTATATATTTAAAGATATCATTGCATATTACAAAGATATTGTATATTACAAAGATATCATTGTGCATTTCACATGTATACTGTATTCAGAAAGAAATTATTTCCCTTATCACAAAAACATTGTATATTTGATATTTCACCTGCTGTATATTCACAAAGACATCATTGTATATTTCAGACATTTGGTAATGAATAAAGACAAAGAGAGAGAAAAAGTTGTGAAACGTAGAGATCAAATCAGATATCAATACGATGAACATTATTTCTTAACAGATCCGGATGAATTTATACAAGAATTCTGGCCACACGATCCAAAATGGCAACTACTAGAATGTCCGTTGGAGCTAGCAGATTTTGAATCTTTACCATTTGTGCGTTCTGTGTTCTTTCATTATGGTATGCAATTTGATCAACATAAAGCTGCTGTTATAGAAACTGGTGAAAAAGGTGGAATCAAAATAGCTTTAAGAATTCCTGAAGAACATGAAAGTGATCTTGTGTTTTTCTATCAACTACGTTTCGCTGATAAAGAACGTAGAAATGACTTAACGTATCGTGGTGCTAATTTAGAGAGGTTTGTCTTTCAAGCTATGGTTGACAACAGCGTGACATTTAGTATTCATGTACCAACAGTGGCCGAGTATTTCTTCGAAGTTTTTGCTAATAAAATTGATGAGACAAATCGCTGTTTAGAAGATAGCAATTCTAATCTGGCACCCTTCCGTTTAAAATGTGCCTGTAAATTTAAAATTACATGTGGAAGCCTGATAGGCAAGATGCATGCTCTTCCAAATTGTGCTGCTGGTGAATGGGGTCCAAAGAAAGCCTACCGCCATTTTGGATTAAAACCAATCTTACCAGCTGACCAGTATGGTGAAGACAAACCAGAACAACTGGAAATCTTAAAAGCAGGAATGTTAACAGTGGAAGATAAATTTCAGATAAGATTCCAGATACCTAGACCTCTACAATTTGTGGCCAAGTTGAGAATGAATCAAGTTGAAGATCAAGTTTTAGAGCCATTCATTCATTTAACAGCAGAGGGTCAGATACTTTCTGTGTCTGCTACTCTGCCTCAACCTGGTCAATATGGCCTTGACCTTTATGCCAGACCTAAGGGATCATCAGAAGGAAATACTCTATCTCATTCTTGTAAATATTTGATTAACTGTATTAAGGTAACATCTCCAGTGGATATTCCAAAGGTCAGTCCAAATTCTGTACCGCGTAATAATTGGGGTCCAACTCAACATTTCTCTGATCTTGGTATTAAGTTAGTGAGCCATAAAGATGCTAAAATTCGTTTAACGGATAGTACACGTTGTAATATAGAAATGTCTGTTCCGGAGAAAGTTTATTTGTCATATCAATTCAATAGAGAACCTGACGATGATTATAGGGAACATGTCACTATGAAACGTGAAGACAACCATGCTAAATTTACGATCAACTTTGTGAAATCTGGCAACTATATGTTGTCCTTATATGGTCGTAAATCTGGCAGCGAAGATAAATCTTTACCCAATATTTATAATTATCTCATACAGTATACTCATCCTGAAACTAATGGCTCTCTTCAAACTAAATCTTCCTCCATCTTTAAGAAATCTATTTTCTCCAAGAAACTTAGTTCTGGAAGTATTGAGAAATTCTCTGATAGATCTTCGGACAAAGGATCTGACAAATCTTAATTAGTCTGACAATCTTTAAATATCTGACAATCTTCAAATATCTGAAATATCTTAATAGATCTGACAAATATTAAAAGATTGTCAAATATATCTGACAGATTAAAGTTATCTGACAAGTCTTAATAGATCTGGCATATTTAAGTTATCTGACATATTTAAGTTATCTGTAAGATTTAAGTTATCTGACAGATTTAAGTTATCTGATAGATTTAAGTTATCTGACAGATTTTGATTCAATTTATCTGACAGATTTAAGTTATCTGACAGATTTAAGTTATCTGTAAGCCTTAAGTCGTCTGACAGATTTAACTTATATGACAGATTTAAGTTATCTGACAGCTTTAACTTATCTGACGTATTTAACTTATCTGACAGATTTAAGTTGTCTGACATATGTCAATTATCTGACATATTTCAGTTATCTGACAAAATGTAAATGATCTGACAGATCTTTAATTGAGAAACCTGAAGCTGTAGGTAGGGTTGAATAATATTTTACAGACAAAAGAAAAATGCATGTGAGGATTAGTTTATTTTGATGTCAGGGGGTGTTAAGTGGCCAGAATTAATAATCATATAGCTTATGTATCAAGATGCCAAATAACAAATATATTTATTTATAAGTACATTTAAGGGAAGAATCAACTTTGATTCTGGAGGGAATATACTTGCAGTTTTAAATTGCCATTGAACTAAGCATTTCAGTGAAAACAGGGTTTTATAGGTTGACTGGTAGAATCTGTAGTGTAAAGCTCAAATAAACTATGATAGATCTGTAGAAATGCCAGTTGATCTGACCTCAAAATTCTTTTATGTACTTGTGTTGGAATCCTGTTCCCTGTTGATCAAAAATGTATTGTCTTTTCTGAAAATTTTTGGAAAACAGGGAACAGAATTTAACCTATAGAGTTTCATAATCATTAATGTTAAATCATTAGTTTTCATTCAATATTCAGGCATAAAATTATCATTAAGGAAATGGGCAATCCATCTTTATAATAAGTATTTTAATATAAGTTATTTTTCATATCAGTAATGTATATTTTTTGTAAAAGATATAATTTTTGATTAATTTTCAAGGGTGTTTGAACAACTATTTCCCGTTCTTTGTAAGACAATCCTAGTTTTTCCCTGCTTTCATTATATATCCTTATTTCTCTGTGTTGAAAAATCTGTCTGAATTCCTTCCTGATTACCTCTGTAAATTAAGTACTGTTAAAGGAATACTACCTCTTAAAATGAACATAAAATTTAAATCTCAAACTTGGCTAATAAGAGTATATATTCATCAGTTGGACTTACTTGGTGTCATAACTAAACAACAGAATCCGTGTATATGACAATAAATCTATAAAACTGAGGCTTAAAAACGTTTTTCAATAATAACCTATAGTTTTTGGAATAATTACTTATTTGTAAGGATAATTACTTATTTTATTTGGATCAGATCATACAGTGATTCTCATGTATAATTGATCTACTCATATTAGCTCTGATTTGAATTTTTTTTTTTGGGGTCATCCTAAGAGGTAGTATTCCTTTCTGATTTTCTTTGTGTTCACAAAAATGTAAAGACCATAAGCTGATATTTCCTTTACTGCTTTTTATTAAGTTTGGTTGTTCATATTCCCTGTAATAACTAGTCAAAGGAGAATGCAATAAGATTATAGTTTGATCTGCTAGATGTTTAATAGTTTGAGGAAAGATTTAAATTCAGATAATAGTATATATGGTATAACTAGAACTATATTTATTATCCATTTAAAAAAAATATAGCTTTTTAAGGACTGAAAGTGCCAAATTATTTGGTGAAATTTTGGTTAATGTAATTAGTTGAATTTGTTTGAACTTGATTGAAAATACTTTGTGATTTTCTGTTTATCAATTTTTTTTTTACTTCAATATACAAAATTCTGCTGAAATGTACTAGAAAAATCTTTGATATACTTTTTTTTTACTATAGTCTGGTTTTGGATAAACAATTTTTTTATTTAAAACCTTGGCAATGCTTCTATTTTCTCAAAAGTAAAAAAAAAGAAAGTTTTATGTTCCTCGTGAATTAGCTTGTATCCTTATGTTAAGATCTGTGTTATTATGTTTCGAATTGTAAATAAATTATTTAGATGTATTATGTTTTTCTTCTGTATTATTTGGATTAACTTATATTATTATATTCTAACATTCCTTAAGTTATATTATTTCATTATTATACTTCTTATACACAGTTTTTTTTTTCTATCTAAAAATAAAAATATTAACAGTTTTGATTTTTATTATTTTCAATCCAAATTATTAGACTTTGAGAGACGTCTATGGTTCCTGCAATTCTACATGCTTTATCAAATGGTCCTTCCCAATTTTTGATGTGATGAATTGGTATTCAACATCACTCATTAACACTTCAACAATTATTATCTATTAACAAGGTGAGCTATAGTGATCGGTAGATTTGAATAATAGTTCACCAATTATCCGAGAAAGTATCTTTCCAACGGTTATCATTCCCAGGAAACTTTCTGCTGTGTGGGCGTATATAGCCTAATGGGCAATCACTCGTTGTATCGCATAATCTCTATGAATAACATTATCTTGAAAATGAAAATATCGATTTGAATTATCTCTTGGCGAGTAACTATCGTGGCTACAATACTGATGTAGCATATTCTGATGCCACGTCCAATGCATGCGATTTCATTGTATTTCAGTGTATTTATCTACGAGGATCGTTGAGAAAATAGCGGTTTATTGTGCTGGATCATCCGATACATAATATTGATTCGAACCTACTTTAGGTACAATTATGATCAATAATTGACTGATATAAGTAATTGTATTAATAGACGATTATTAGTGGTTAGGTGGTGATGAAAACACAGTCTCATTAGAAGCACTGGTCTATGTAAGGAGTTATAATTAGATATGTTTATAATGAATGGCTAATAAATAGGTTATTTTTTTATTTTGGTGAAAAAATAAGAATCAACCTTCTTCTGTAATGCATGGAAATGCTGAATGATAAATCCTGAAAAATGAAATCATTTAATGGGAATCGTTTGCCATTCGTTCGATCAATTGTACCTTAGTCTCAGAAGCAGGAATTTTAAGCTAAGTTAATTAGTACGAGTGTTCACAACTCATTGTCTAAATTTTAGCCTTCAAATCCATGTATGTACAGAATTATCCGCGAATGACAATAATAATGACGACTGGTCTTTTCTTGATACTCCGCCAAATAGAAAAGTCAGGCGAAATTTCTTGTTCTAGTTTGAAGCATACTTGAAGGGGTTATGCAGTTTTCGTTTACAGTTTCGTATATTCAAGAACTAAATCAACCCTCGAAAATGCCTAACCATGGCCTTCAAGAACAAATTCATTACGTTAGTGAAAGAGGTTGTTAATACATTATATAATTGAAACTATGAAAGCATAGGCCGAGGAGTGTAACACTTTGATAATGAATATACTACAAATTTCAGCTTATTTCTCCTTTTCCAATTCTATATAACACTGACGAAAGTATGTCCTCTAGCAGGCAAGTTCTGAAATCTTTTGTTAAATTTTCAATTTATTTTACCCATAATTGGGTTTCTGATTTAAGATTGGAGAGTGCGAGAAGTAGGTGAAATCATGTAGAATAGCTAAGAAAAACAATCTTATTAATCTGGCAGCGAGTTAGAGACGATCAATACGAACTTTCCAATCGGTAGTAGATCAATGGTGTTACATCACAGGCAGTCACATGGAAGTTTTGTTTGTCTGTGTTGTGACACACAAAACTATATAAGTTATAACAATAATAAATCTTCTAATAATTGTTATATAAGTAATCAAAATAGCAAAGCAGGTGACGGATTTTTTTTATAAATTATTGCCTTTATCGACAAATATTGATATTTTCTAGTTAAGTGTTTGAACAAGAGAGTATATCATCATACTGATTACGGATATCTATAAGGTTTGTGCATTGTTTTCTTTACTATAGTTTTTGATATCTCAGTCATTTTTGGGTTCCATAGATGCATATTGATCAAAATTGTGATCCAGATTATTCGAACCTAAAATTCTTTTAAGAACACGTTCTACTAGCTGACAGAGCTTTTTTGACAGCCATCCAGAACACTTTTCAGATTTAAAAACATACTTCCTGATCTCATACAATTAAATCAAAGTGTACCATGCAATTATAGATTGTCGTCACTTTCAGTCATAAAAAGTTATAATGGCATGATATCAGAAATATCTGTACGTGTTATTGTCGAATAGAACATATTATTGTCGCGATAGTTACGAGTGCATAGAAACTGTAAAATTTGCCAGCAATATCAAATCCCATTTCCGCGTAGTTAGCAAGTAGGCTAATTCCAGTCAGTCACGGATTTTTCTCAGGGTAAGCTTAAATTTCCTACCAAATTGTTTAAATTGCAATTATTCTTATTATAAAACATAGCCAGTATGGACTAAGGCAAAGTAATTCTCAGTTTTCATCACTCGATGACCTTCAAAGTAATAACTGATGCATTAAATACAATGACTTTGTTTTTGGAAATTTATCGAGTGTAACGTTTCACCCTCTGGTCGAGCGAGACTAAAACCTTAATAGGGGCTAATCTCTGCCAACCCCAACCCTAACATATGTGAGCCCCGACCCCCATCCTTCATCATACCATTTTTATTTGAATATTTCTGGAAAATCGTTCATTGAGGGACGACAATCTAGAACTTCCATTATGAAAACTTTGGGAATACATTTTCTAACATTTACAATGGGCATTTCAATTTTTTCGGACCCCAAACATTGCAAAACCAACATGTTTTCATTTAATTTCTGCAATAATCAATGTCTGGAGACTTATCAGATAGTGAAGCATGAAATAACCGAAAGTTCATCGATTGTCGAAACTCAAACACATTAGGGAAAATTTTTACTTGCATTGTCATTGCAAAAAGTTGGTTTTGTGTTGGTGATTTTTCAGATGGCTTGGATTCATCAACTAAAAAAAGCAAAAAAAGACCGACATATTGGATCTATGGTTAAAGACAGTTCTACTTTAAGCCATATAGACTCTAAGTAATCTGATATAAACTGTTAGTGTCAAGAGACTTATTACAGTTCTAGAATATCAATGACCAATTTCCATTAGATTCAAGTCCAGATCATGTTCAATTTCTTCACGTTGACAGGTCGTGATAATGTCACAGTTTAATCTCGATACAGAATATAAATTACAGAGAAGTCATGCCAGAGAACATGGAATTACTGTAACCTCATCGTCACAATGTCAAACTATTACGAATTGTGTCTAATACCTTGACTGCAATAGCCACCTTTCTTACATTGCTGAAGTATGTAAATGCAGCGATTTGGTTACATTATGTTACCGTATGCAGCCAAATATAGCCCGCGCAGCTGCATTGTTTACAATCATTCCATCGAGGGCACTGATTGGCTGTATTCGCTAGAGTACAATCCAATGAAATCGCTGCATTTACAAATTTCCGTGATACAAGAAAGGTGGCTGTTGCAGTCAACGTATTAGACGCCGTTGGTAATAGATTAACATTGTGAAGATGGTGTAACTGATTCTCACCAGAACTCTCGACTGTAGCTCTTTAGATCTGTGTATGAGTCCAGATACCACACTAACGTTTACCATGGATAGGCGACGGCAAATCTTCCACTGTGTAAAATTATAACAAAAAGTGAAAGTGGGGTAGGGTGGGGCAAAGCCGGATCAGTCTCTTTTAGGTGCCCCTCCCCTCCTCCCTTGCCTCGTGGAAACGCCACTGACTTATTTACATAAGTGCAGATTTGTACACATTCCTTATTTTCCATGACAAATTTAGCGATGAACATCAAGGAAGTATATACCTTTCATTAAAAGTGTGTATTCGATAACAACAAAAATGTTAAGTTTACATAGGTCTCTCTCCCTACCTTTTACGTAAATGATTTCCGGTTTCTCACTCCTAAATTATTGAACATTCACACCGTACAGTAGGTGACAAATCATTACTTTCGATTTCGCATTTTTAACATAGAAAATTCCGAGGTATTTTGAAGTATATTTTGTATAGTAAAGTATTGCTGTGAACAAACTGAACCCAAGTTAGTAATGTCTAGTTTTGAAATCAAGTAAGTAATGTTATATATTTTGGAAGTGAACAAACTGAATTCAAGTAAGTAATGTTGTATTTTGGCAGTGATCAAACTAAGTTCAAGTAAGTAATTTATAATTTAGCAGTGAAAAACTGAATTTAAGTAAGTGATGTCTAGTTTTGAAATCAAGTAAGTAATTTTATATTTTGGAAGTGAACGAACTGAATGAAAGTAAGTAATATTATATTATGGAAATGAACAACGGAATTCAAGTAAGTAATGTTATATTTTGGCAGTGATCAAACTAAATTCAAGTAATTTGTAATTTAGCAGTGAAAAAAAAAGAATTTAAGTAAGTAATGTCTAGTTTTGAAATCAAGCAAGTAATGTTATATTTTGGAAGTGAACAAACTGAATTACAGTAAGTACTTTTATATTTTGGAAGTGAACATCGGAATTCAAATAAGTAATGTCATATTTTGGCATGGAACAAACTTTACTCAAGTAAGTAATATATATTTCTGCAGCGAACAAAATGAACTCAAGTAAGATATATATTCCTTATCTTGAAGCGGATGAAAATGAAATTAAAATTCTTAAAGAAGGAAGTAAATTAGACTAATATGGCGCAGAAACTTCAAGATAATATCATTTTAAATTGAAACAAATCTATCTGAATATTGTGGGGAAATAAGATTGAAAAAATCAATACGAAAAGATAGCATTTCTTAGATTATAAACAGTTCAGATTTCTCAATGAAGATATCCGAGACAGCGGCGACAACATCCTCCCGAGACTGGGCCTACAAGGGGCACACTGACTGTATAGGGGACAACAATGTCGAAGCTGGTATCAAAATGCTGCGACTCTGTGGAGGCGTCGTAGATGTAAGCCTCTCATACTCCCCTGAGAAGGCTATTCCCATAATTTTTTTGTAAAAATTTATTTGATTTGGTGTATTTGTAACACATATTTTGGCGCACAAATATATTTTGTTAACAGTCAAGTTGGGGTACAATTGAATGTGTAAATCAATTTTTCTTGGGCGCAAAAGCCCACTGACCCCACCTTGGACCCCAACTAACCCCACCTGTACCACTACTGACCCCACCCTGTACCCCAACTGACCCCACCCTGTACCCCCACTGACACCGCCAACATTAAAAAGCTGCAATCATTAACTTTTCATTTTATGGAAACGAGGCATCAAGGAATACTCCCACGACAGACGACTAAAATCATTGCTGCTTATTTAAATCGGAGTCTGAAATAGAGCAATAAAGAAACATATCTCATTCTCTGATTATATGGCGACGAGATAAAAACCAGTTGGCAATTACCTAACTGTGTAGGTTGTAACTAATACATCTTGATTTTAAAATGTTTAGATTCAAAACGGTCGAATTCAAAATAATTCTACCAAATTATTCCAAGTTTAGTCCACCCGAAATGTCGTAAAATCATATTCACCATTCGTGTGTCAGATAGTACTAAGTCTCAGAAACGGGAATTTCTTAGCTTAACCAATCAGCGTTCACAACTCACCGTCGAAATTTGAGCCTTCAAATCCATGTGTGTCCAGAGTTATCCTCGTTTGAAAGTTAAAATGACGACTCCCTTTTTTTGAGACTCCGCCGTGTATAGAAAAAAAAAAAACAGATATAGAAATAGAAAGTGAAATTTCTAGTTTGAGGTATTTTTGAAGTTGTTATGCGATTTTTGTACAACTTCCTTAGTACAGTATCACGTACTTCATAAATAAATCATTTTCAACTGATATCAAGCTATATATGGAATCTGTGCGACAACAATACGTCATCAATATTTCAAAACCTAGCGAGGAATGAACTTCAAATTGCGTAAGAAACGTTATCACTAGTTGCTCTTTGTCACAACCGTATTGTGCGAAAAAGTGATCGAAGATGAATACTTATCATGATTATAAAGCGTGGGTACATATCATTATTTCAACCAAACTTAGCATAATGTTAATTAAATGATGTCAAAGCAAGCTCATAGATTATTCTAATGTCACGACAGCTTCTCGAAGTGATATAATTGTCTATATATTTTCTTAGCCCGCTTATAGAAATGACGATAGTGTCTACTTCCACAAACGGTTACTTTTGAATTGCTGGAGAACTAAGCGGTGGATTTTTGATGTAAAAAGTAATACGGGTTTAGAAATTCAGCCCAATCAGCAGGTAAAGCGAATGTGTGTATCTAAACGAGTGTATACCTTTAAGTAGTTATTATACATTAAGCACGTAGAATAATATCACAATTATCAAATTACTTTCAGGTTTTATGTAACGCATTAGTCACACGAGAAGAAAATGATATATATCCATTGAGGATGCATTCACACGGAAATTATCGTGAGCTGTAGATCATAAACACTCCAATTCCAAGATGAGAGCTTTAATTCACAGAAGTCACGAAACGAAGAGAAGATCTAGTTTGTTGGTTCCAGCAGAACTTTCGTTGCCTGATACTGGAACCATCAGACGACGATCAATCGGACTAGCTACAGGTGAAACATCACTACTAGCGCCACCTTTGGTTACCATCAGGCGTGGTTCCCATGGTGATATTCCCTTGATAATTCCGTCTGATTTATCTCCGAAAAAGGAACTGGAAGTGAAAGCAGCTTGTGAGGCCAGACGGCGATCTTCGTTATGGGAGAGCAGTAATCAGAACTTAACGCCACCTGGTGTTGGAGAATATTCTAATGTTCGCAGACGATCTTCTGGATATGGCGGTGAATTACAAAGACAAATCATTGCAGAAACTGAATCTAGTAATAACAAACTCAGACAGTTTGTAGGAATTGTTATTTTTGTTATAGTTATTGTTATTTCTTTTTCCTTTTATCGTTTGGTTCACCATTGAGAGAACAATCGAGAAAATGGCGTGGTTTACTTTATCCAAATAGCTTCAAATCCACATAAGGCGATGGATATCAACTTCCAAGATGCTTATCATTTTTGACTATCATAGGGTGCTAGGTAAAATACAGGGTTGGTATTTATTCCCCACCACCCAGCCGTCCGACCTGATTTAGCTACGCGTAAACAATTGTGCTATCTTGGTATCTCGAATAGTTGCCTATAGAAATTTTGGGAATTTGTGCTTGGATCTGTGCTTTGGATGAATTTTCCAAACTTTATGAAATGTGCTATGTGTTAATTTTCAATAAATCTGTTCAAACATAATTCAAAGTCAATCCCGGTATAATGTCGGTTTAATTTCTCAGGATGTGTTTCAGACTAATAAATGTCTGTCTGACACATGTTTCTTCTATTACGTTATAATAGGAGAAAATCAGGAAAATCAGGAAATTGGCTACCATTATTATCTTCCGATGAAATGTCTATGGTAGTTCATGGTACCGTAATCTATTTCTGAAGCGAGTGATGCCACAAATCAAGTCAAATGAGAATGCTCACTGACAGATGCTTGAAGCTGACCCTTAAAATACATATTGTATTCTTTAAAACATGTGCTTTATTGAATGGGTTTATGAATAAAAAATGTTAAGTCAAATTTGTAGTAAGCGGTCATGGAAATGCTTAAAATTTGCCACTTACTGAAAGTGGTTCTTTACAGTGACAGAATGATGCTTCGTTGTTTATGACCAATCATACTTTACTCTCAGAAACGGGACTTTTTTTTTTAGCTAAGCCAATCAGTACTAGTGTCCACAGCTCACATCGACATTTGAACCTTCACATCGATGTTTGTTTAGAAATATCCTAGTTTGAATGTTAAAATGACGACTCGTCAATTTAAGATACTCTTAAAAATTTGTGCCTAAATACGCTACTGGTTTCAATAAAACTGATAAATATTGTGGACTTCAGCTTTGAAATGGAACGTCACCCATTAATAATGCAAATTCAATAATTTCAGTCAGTTGTATCTATGGTCTATGGTCCATTTAGCAACACCTTCACTTTGTTGGACTTCTAGTAAGGTCAAGGTGGGATTGACTGGAAGGCTTTTATTAATATTAACCCATGCAATCTTCTCGAAACCTACGTTAATCCAACGGGATCAAGGGAAAAATTATTAGCACACAAAAGATCTGCAATGTCAAGCTATTAGAACTCCGTCTAGTACATTGGTTGCATTTCCACCTTTCTTCTAAAACGGTAGTTTGTAAATGCTGCGATTTGATTGGATTGTACGCTACCGAATACAGCCTTCGATTCCCTCGATTACACGGGCAGCCATATTGTTTATAGTCTATCTGTCGAGGGCACCAATTGGCTGTATTCGGTAGTCTACAATCCAATCAAATGACTGTCCTCTGTTTAACAAGAAAGGTATTAGAGACAGTTGGTAATATCTTACTGAAAATTCTTAATAGCTTGAGATTGTGAAGATTCGTAAAAGCTTGACATTGTGAAGAATCGTAAAAGCTTGACATTGAGAAGATTCGTAAAAACTTGACATTGTGAGCGATTCGTAATACCTTGACATTGAGAAGATTCGTAAAAACTTGGCATTGTGAATATAAGATCTGAATAATGTCACATTGATCTGTATATCTGTATCTGTATATAGAAATAATCATTATTAAATGAAACTGTCAGTTCTGAGATAAAATGTCTATTTGATCTTACATTATAAGAAAAAATCTCTACCGCGTGAAGTAATGTTGTCTGGGAAAATTTATTGATAATAAATTAACCTTTGACTTTGAAAATTCACATATATCTTCCACTGACTAATAGACTTTCAGGAACAGTGAGTTTTATTCTAATCGATTCCTTTCATAAATCATCATCTTCATTTTAATTTATGGTTTCATATCACGTTATAGCAATAGTTTCACTACCATTTTTATCATCTTTTCATCTTTTTAGCGTCAAGTTCTCATCCGTTTTTCTTTCACCTTCGGTTTTCTTCAAGCTAAGTATTTCCTCGCTTTTCATCGAGTTCTCAACTTCCAATCTAAATTATTCTTTATTCAGAATGATGTCAAGATATCTTAATAACTTCATAATGAAGTTTCATTATGTCATGTTCTGAGTTCTGTTTCCAGCGTTTCCAAGTCATGCTTCGTATCACCTTCCCATCATCACTAAGTTAAGATATGAATCGTCTTTTGATCTTCATCATATCATATTCTGTGTCAATCGTTTTATTCCTTTATTACGTTAGCATCTGAATCGTCTTTTCATCAATTAAAGGGACAGATGCTCATATTTGACAAAACGTACCCTAGTCTCAGAAACGGGAATACAGTGGAGCCGCGTTTATCCGGTTGCAGATATAATCCGGAAACCCCGATATCCGCACGCTTTTTACTGGGAACGGAATATTTACTATGTATTTTAGTTAAGCCAATCAGTGTTCACAGATCACCGTCGAAACTTGAGCCTTCAAATTCTTGTGTGCCAAGAATTATCCGCGTTTGAATGTTAAAAATGACGACTCGTCATTTTAAGATACTCTATGATATATAGAAAAGACATATTCAGAAAAGGTGAGCAAAATAGTACTTTTGAATACTATTTACATATATTCAAGACTAAAATCAACCCCCAAAAATGGCGCATCAGTCCCTTTAAATATCTAAATTGTATTGGTAAGTTCATCACGTCAATACCCGAATAGCCCTTTTTCACGTCTTCATTTCTATCTCTATCATATCAACTTTTTCCAAATACTTTATAATAATTTTAAAATATTATTTACCAATGTCTACAAATTTTGGAAACGATTCAAACTAGTTCTAAAACATGCTAGACAGCTATTATGCTTTTCCGTATCCCAATCTTGAATTGGTTTCAAATTATATCTATCAATCTTCAGTTTATTCTAGGTTGTCTTTCAATTTCCATCGTGTTACGTGATATATTGACTTGTCATATTAAGTTCCCAATTGTATATCCATCATTTCAATACGAGAATTTGTACTTGAACATTGGATAAAATATTAATATCCACATAAAAAGAACACTAGATGTTGTAGTGTTATCATGCGGACAAAAAAGTCAATTGTTCAAGTGTAAGAGCACCTTCACTATCCGTTCGACCAATCATACCTTAGTTTCTGAAACAGGATTTTTTCAGCTTACATAATCAGTAATAGTGTTCACAACTCATCGTCGAAATTTGAGCCTTCAAATCTATGTCTACCCATAATTATTCACGTTTGAAAGTTAAAAATTCGACTCCAATTTTAGTGGACTATGCCATATATAGAAAACACAAATATAGGAAATACAGTATAAAGACAGTGAAATTTCTAGTTTGAGGTATATTTGAAGGGATTATGCGATTTCCGTGCGTTTTAGTACTTTTTATTATTATTAAAGCACAAATCAATCCCCGAAAATGCCGACTGTTTCCCTTTAACCTAATGAAAATCTGTGAGATTATCTTTTAAATTGGAGGATTATCCATAATTAATACACATCTGATAATAATTTTTCTCCGCGAGTCAGACTCCTAAATTTATTAAAACTGTCTATGTCTTGCACAAAACTTCTCACTCGCGAGTTAAGTTCATGATTAGATTCCAAATGATCCCGAAGACGCAGCTTAAGGATTTCACTCTTCGTAGATCGCGATTGTGGTATTTCCAAAAAGCTTTCCGGTAGTGATTGATATTCTACATCCGAGTCCTCCGATTGTTGAGCTGACGAATGCACTTCCGACGGTAGCACTAGCTCGTTTTTCTTGCGTTTCTTTGGTAGCTTCACTGAAAAATTCATCCACTTGGGAAGAGGTGCTTGACGACGTAAAGCTGTTCTGTTTATGGAGGAATATGTTGGTAATAAATAGCCTTTACTATGGTGTATAGGCTTAGCTGTACAGGTATGAGTTCTTCGTATTAACGACACAGCTGTTTGTGGTCTCTGTAACGCTGGTGATGGATTGGAGTGTTCAGCAGATTTTGTCTGGAACATTGCTGAAAAGATACAAGTGGTTACAAAGGGTTACAAACTTCATCCGATACCTTGACATCATTAGGCACTTTACTACAGTTATTTGAGTTGATCGTGTGATATTGAACATCCAATCAAATTATTGAATTTATCATCTTGCGTGGAGAAATGTGCCTAATGGTGTCAAGGGATAAGATGGTACAAATTAATCATATTCTCTTCCATAATGTACACTGTGCTGAATTCAGATGGATGGATTTTTATGCCACAATTTCTTATTATGTAGTGACGTATCACCTTTAATATTGAAACCGTAAACAAAAATACAAATAATATTAATGTTTTCTATAAAATTTGAATTGAATTTCTTAAAGCAAACTTGGAAAATTGTCTTACCTTCGGAATATCTCCAGATAGAATTGAACCCGAACGTTTCGTCTTCCAGTCTTTATGGACATAAACCGTATAACATCACAAAATTAATTTTACGCAATGTCAACTTATCAAAGCTCTTATTAAAAGGTGGTCAATCAAAATTCGTGTCGATGTGTTTGAAATAACAATAATTCAAACATACAGTGAAAATATTTATTCATTAGTTAATGTCTTGTGTACCTAAGTACATAAAAATATGATTTCAAAAATGACAGCAGATTTTTTTTATATTGATTTAGGGTTGGATTTCAGCGTTTTTCTTTCGTCTAATTTATGATATCAAAGATAGGGACATGTTTTTATGACTGCATTAGGGGATAGGTTGACTTTTCCTAGTGAGTTGACTTATTGCACGACATGAAGTTAAGATTGCAATTTATCTTTGAATAGATTTGACGAGTCCGTAGCCGCAGGGTGGGAGGGGGGGGGGGGGGTGGAATTCAGCGAAAATTCTGACAACCGACCAATTCAATTACTACAACTATACACCATACACCTTTGTCCATCCAGATATATCACTTGCCCCTCCGAACAATCAAATCTGGCTGATACAGTGAACCATGGGTTCTCAATTCATGATACTAAAACTTTCTATAGTATCATCGAACACAGAGGGGGTGCATGTCGAGTCGGAACAGTCTTAAGGGTTAGTGTATTGGTTTCTTAGTTTGTTTTTTTAAATATATAACGGGGTTGCTTCCCTTGAAGTTGATCAATGTTATCTTATATGGATAACTTCCCTTGACCCGAAAACAATTACATGTTGAAATTTTACAAAATGAACATTTTGGTCAAAATATTTATGCACTCCATGGATCATTTTAGTAAAAAAAAATCCATGTGACAATATTTTTGACCATCGTAAAGATATATAATATACTCATTAAGAATCTAAATCAAAGTTGGATTGACTTTCACCTATTCGGTCTTCGTTTTCCCAGCAAAGGAAAAATCCTAAAAACAATGGCCATTTCTAACGTGAACGTTAAACGAAATGCTTTGAATACGGTCAATACATACGATTACATATTCACTCTTATGACGAGTATAGACTAAGGCAGTAAAAGGTTTTGTTTACACTATATGTTTATTGTTGTACATATATAGGTTAGGTCTACCTTTATGGTAAGTAAATAAAAAGATACACGATATCCATTAGGACAACTTGTTTGATATACTTTTTTATACTTGTCAATCTTATCATATACATGTATACCACTTAGTCTTTGTAATGTTTCTTTTTAGCCCTTTTCGGAGCCGCGGTGGCTCAGTGAGATAGCTGGCATCAGGCTCCGAGCCAGACTTGATTGTTCGGAGAGGCAAGTTATATATCTGGATGGGCAATGGTGTATGATATGTAGTCGGTTGTCAAAATTTTTTCAGGGGGACAATCCCCCCCCCCCCCCTCCCTCTAGCTAATGCCTGGTTAGCATTGGTCTAGAATATATATTCGGATGTTTCAACCCGGTGTCGTTCGGATGGGACACCGAGGCCCCATTAAAAATCCCACAACAGAGGGAAATTAACAAAAAGGTGTTGTCCTGGTAAAATTTCCCTCGTTGCACACTGCTTGGCGTGGTCCGTCTTCATTAGCACATTAGGTGCAGAAAGGTAGGACGTTGAACACCAGTCATTTTATTTCATTTCACAGAAGATAAGACGTAACTATGGCGTGAAAATTGAATTGGTTTGATTATACATCAAAGAGTTATTCTGACATCTCTGATATTTTGTGAACGTGATTAAGAACATGATTTGCATGGTCTCAATGTTAGGAACTCGTTTGTAGTCATATTACACTCAAGTGGCCTCAAGGACATTCTCTAAGATCGATTTTCTATAAATAAGTTTCTCACTTTTTGTCTTGTGATGTGCCCAATTCCGTCGTATGCACATAATTTGATATTTTAATATTACGTTTTCAGGTTCCAGTTCGGTCTTGCATTTACATACATATATATTATGTATATTTGGTAGCGCCAGCTTCATGAGACTGAGGGTATACAAGGAAGTGATAGACTCGCCAAATTGGGGGACAATTGTCTATGTTGAGATTCAAAATGCGGAAACGTCAGTCGCAAGTCTTCCATGGAACAATTGATTTCATGCAATCTGGCACATATTTTGGGGAAAAAGCGTAAAAGATTATATATACGTAGAACAAATATTCTGGGACGTCTCGTATGTCGTAGAGACCCTCCTGTGCAAACTGTTACAGAGTTGGATGCAGCATTGCATCGGGAGTGGCATTAAATTCCTCAACATTCAAAGACTGATGAAAAACAGATACTTTGCATTTGGGGCTATAAAGACAATATAATGTACGATCATCCACTTCCTGTTGTTGATTTTTTCACGAATACATATTGTTTTCAACATTAGTTCCTAATATATACATCTCTGTTATCAAGTATGATTGTGAATTGCATTCATTTGCGAAACAATAGTTCAAAATCTGATGGCGCTTCAATTTCTGTTCTAGATATATATATATATATTATATGAAATCATGTTAAAATTTGAGAGCATTTAAGGATACAAACTATTTATTTACGAGGCAAATGCCCATAGCCCCATGACGTCGCCACTGCGGGCATATAAATAGGCAACATAGTATTATCATATTTTCTTACTTGCTAGTGAAATTCTACATCTTCAAAAAATTTAACAACAGTGGCGGAGCCAAAGGGAGGGCAGAGCGGACATTCAGTTCAAATCTTTAAAAGCGGTTTCCATTGAATATGCAATATCATTTGGAGTGGAGGATAAAACGATTTTCTGAAACTGCTAATTGGTGGATATAACGTTCGTCAGTTTAACGAGAGTTTAATGAGGTCAATATAAGATATAAAGATGTCGATATGAACATTACTACAAGATAGACGATTTATATCTGCCATTTATTTTCAAATAAATTAACACCTACGAAGGCAATGATATAATACTATAGACATCGATTTATAGACATTTATACAAACAATAAACTGTTATATATATCGCAATATCTAAAATCTACTCTCACATCAATGAACCGAGGACGTCAACGTTGATCGTCAGTCGGTCGGATGGACGCAAGAAGTCGTAATAGACTGCTAAGAGATATCTTTCAAATGCACCATGTTTATCACGTCACACTTGAAACAACTTTTGATATTGTTTTCGATTGCAGACCTAAAATAGGCCCTACCCCAATGATTTACCGCCTGAATAACAGTCTAAATGATCAGACGACAGATTTGGCGCGAAAAACTGGATCCTTTAGAATGATTAGTTTGTTTTCTTTTCTCAACAACGGTGATGGTGTGCTCGATTCTAGTTCCGAATTGACAACATAAGAAGAAGAGTTCTCTCCCATTTCTGTTCTTTTCTTTGGTTTAAGATGAGGTAAAGCTACCATGTAAAACTGTAAGTGGAAAGAAAAGGAAAAATAAAACATGTTTAGCATAAGCAACGATCTCGTCATATGACTCATGGTCAGTGCAGACGAGACCTCGCATACATGAACACTACAGTTTGTAGTTCTAATATTTCCCTATTTCTAGTAAATCACTTTGTGTTCCTTCGGGGACTTGCTATTTGCCCGCGTTAGACTACTACACCCTCGGGTACATGATGGTTAGCTTGACAAATCAACCCCTACCAAAAGCTTGCTTTGTAATGTTGAAAATTCTTAAAAACTAGCGATCCAAAATTGGATTGGATCAACTCCCATAAAAAGTGACATTTTATGTCATGCCCTAATCTTGCCGATATCCCATCCGCATACCAGGTCCTTTCAGAGGATAACAGTCTATGTGCAGCTTCATCTTTAGAAGCAAGTGTTCTGCCGCACGTTTTGGTCGTAGATATTGGAGTTGTCGTGCTACATGATAAAAGGTATTTGGGGTTAAAGACTTACTATTATACAGGCTAATCCACTGCCTAGAATAGATCCACCTAAAACATCTGATGTAAAATGTTTATTATCTGTGACTCTAGTAACACCACACCATACAGCCAATAATATTACTGACATCTGTAATACTGGTCGCAACAGGTGGGAAAAACTTACTACCATTCTGTATTGCAGATACAGCTACAAATAATAATTCATAACAATCATGGAAAGTTCAACTTCCATCCAGACTAGTGGAACTAAGTCCACGGGTCCTCAAATCCACAAATGAAATACAAAATTGAAAATGAATTGTTAAAAGGTTAACTCATATATTAAAAAATAAACCCACTTAGTTCTGAGAATCTCTTTTCTCCATCTACATGATATGTCGTTATGGTTTGTATTACGGGCAACCGCTTAATGGATAACACCTTCCATTTAAGATACAAAGTATATTATCATATTAAAAAAAACGGCTAAACTTGTACTTACCACAACAAACACAGCTGAAAATGTGGCAAACGATGAATGTCCCGAAGGAAACGATAGTCGACTGGCTCTTAACAACTTTTCACTGACTTCATTATTCGTGCATTCATATTCCATAATATACCTTGAAAACAGAAATAATCAAAAACATAAGAAATACATGTGTGTAAATACAATCCAATGATATTGAAATAGAAAGTTTGGACCCTATGAACCAAGGCGACTTACACAGTGGGCAACCATGTAGGGCAACCGATTAAATTGGAAAGGTATCTGATAGAATAGGCCTAGATAGAACCGTTCGGATTTTCAACCAGCTTGCCAATGATGCAGGTCGGAAGGACTGGCATGGAAAGAGTGTTCGGTTCAGACAATAGGCTAGGCTGTTCTGTGCTGTAACTCCTCTATATCAGGAAATCGAGTCGGTCAACGCCACTGTCCTGGCAAAATCTCCCATATTGCACACTGCATGGCGTGGTGCACAAAAGAAGGATGTAAAATTCCATTCATTTCATTTTTTGATACGGAGAGGGGGGTAACAATGATGCTCGGGATTCAGTCTTCGGAAGCATTACGTAGAAGAATATAGAAGTTTCATTTTAATATAACAGAGATCTTACCCAATACTACAGTTAATCTTAGAGAAGTCCGGTCGACATAAATCTATGAAATGTGGTCGTAATCTTCCAGTTGAAAACTTGATGACTTCAGTAAAGACTTTAGTTACCATAGTACCAAATAAAAACAGACCAATTCCTTTAGCCGCGATCCAAATTTCAGACGGTCTCTTATCATTCCTACTTCGTATTAACATACGACATACCTCCGTCATGATAATCTGAAAACAAAGATCAGGTATGAACATTTACTGGCCAATCCTAATCAATTCCGTATCTGGGGTGCCAAAACCTCTTGTTGGTACCCGTGAAAACCGGATACCAGAGAAATCTGTAACATTAGTAGAAGATCAAAACATCCTTATCGATTATGTGAACTATTCACGAATTTTGGACAATAACATTGTCTATGGTGGGTGTGGGATACTAGAGATGCCTAATTTAAAGAGACAGTTGCGGCTTTTTAGGGGGTGGGGTGTGTTGATTTAAGTTTGAATATATGTTTAGTCTTCAGAAGTACTAGACATGTACGAAAATCGCACAATTCCTTTAAAAGTACTTCAAATTAGGAATTTTACTCACTAATTCTATATATGTCTCTTCTATATATCACGGTATCATAAAATAACGAGTCGTCATTTTAACATTCAAATGTGGATATTTCTAGACAAACATGGATTTAAAGGCTCAAATTTAGACAGTGATCTGTGGACACTTACAGTGATAAATGGTATTCCCAATCCACCAGCTAATAGTACCGGTACTGTCACACTATCATGATGGTAGGGGTACTGTATACTTCTGTCATCGCAGTGAAATCCCAGTTTGAAAGGTGATCCCACTAAAAACAATCCCAATACTGGCATACATACTGAAAACACAACAATTGAATCGATTAATTTCTTAATTATCATCGTTATGATTTAAAATGACAATACTGGAGGGTTTTCAAATGTTCAAAACCCTTTTCAAAGGTGAAAAATATCCCGAATAATTAGAATAACGTTCTATTCGATTTCTATGGACGAGATGACGATATCTATATGGATATGCGCTCTATGGCATAAAGAAAAGAAAGCGTAACTTTTAGGTATAAGTGCAAAATCTACCTTATGGGCAACCTACTGTTTTCACTCTTTCTCATAAAATCAAATTTTACCAACGAATTTGAACATCAGTTTCAAAAACATAACATAGTGGTGATAAATTTCTACCAAAATTGTCAAAAAAATTGCAAAAAATTTCCCTCTGATCGACGTGAAAATATGTGCTCATCTTAATATTCAAATCAACACAAAGTCATTTTAAGCCTATCAGTTCTATTTTGAAGCTGATATTTGAAATAATTGACGAATTAGACAGTAACACTGGACAATGAGAGATAACCTTTAGTGATTCAAGGAATGGTCAAAACAGGTTATCGGTTGAATCTCTGGACTCACTCCACTAAAACATTTTATGCAAATGATTGTATGTAGTCAAGGCTATTTTTAGAAATCTTCTTTCTCTCTTCCTTTTGGGGTTTTTGCATGCCTATTTTTGGGTAAAATTTGGTCTGGATTTGGAATTTGATGTCTGAAATTGCATTATCTTTCAGATTTGGTGAGATGATGAGAGACCTAAAGGCGGAAGGCTAATTCTAAAAATAGTCGTTTTGTGAAGTGCCAAACTCTAGCGGATGAGTATAACCGGTAGTAGTCTACTTTCAATTTTTGTAGCTCAAAATTTTCATGGTCATCATATAATGAATTTTTTTAGGAGACATTGAGAATTGGTCAGGCTTTCATTCGACATATTGGAAAGCTTTCAACGAGATTTCGGGAAAAAGTGTTAGAAGGTTGAATTTCGTGTTTTAACATGGCAAATGAATTAGTGGAGTGAGTCCTGTCTGTGTTAATGTGGTTAAGGCATGGCACTAACTAGGATGGACCGGATGTGGTTCAAAATAGGGTAAGTAGGATTGTTCGACTGACCTCCATAAAACATGATAAAAATACTATCACAGTCCATTGTTATTCAACATTAAAGGAATTTAGAGGGCAATAAAGAATATAAAGAAAGTATTGTACATAAAAGAGCTGATAACAATTGGTCTATTTAATAATATGATTATTTATAACATTATATAGTGTAAAACACCCCAATAAAAATATCCATATATCCTGTGATGATGACACATTCATCAGTCAACACCTCTTGACATAGTACAAACAGACCAATTTGTTCATATCTGGTCAAATATTACAAATTTATATTGAATTATTTTTAGTATGGAAAAGTAGTTTTATGTGTTACTGAATATACCCTCCTATAAAAGCACTGGTCAAGGTCACAAGGAGGAAAAGTAGCATTGAAGTAAAACGTGATTTTTGATATTTTTCTAATATTTTGTGCACTCGGAATATTTAAGTGAAAGTGTTCCTGAAGTGCATAGAATGGTCAGAAAACGCCTTTATAATCCCTTAAAATTTAATCTTGTATTCATATATCTATATAACAATGCACAATAGGCGTAGGGGACCTAATTCTGTGGGGAGCAGAGAGATTGTATCTGTCGTCCTTTATGTTACTATAACCGTTGTTGCCCCACCCTCTTCTATACACCTACGCCTTCCATGTTGCTACTTTCATTTCCTACGACAGAGAGTCAACTTCCCAATTTCTCACAAGGCGTTGAGAGCAGGAAGAGTATAATCATCTATTCCAATCTCTGGTAGCTATTTGGACAGATGTCGGCTGTTGTAAAGCTGACAACTGTCAAAATACCCATCAGAGGCTTGAATAGAGGAAGATGTTTCGGACTACTTAAATATATGCCCAAAAATTTCCAGCTGAAATTACGCTCAGAAATAACAATAGAAATTAAAGAAATATCTATATATCGCAATATCATGTTTGATCTGCTACCGGGATATACATTCGATTGAATTACGACATGATTTTTGTTTGTGAAAATGATATCCTCGTGTTACAATTATGACTGATGATTTCCTCTAACCTTGTCACTAACTTATCTATCAAACTTTTAACAAAATATTTCCCATATTCAATTGTTATTGATAATTTGAATCATTTGGTAGTTTAATTTCAAAGATAATTTATAAACTGGAAAGATATCTTTTCATTAGTTTTGAATGGTCTTACTCTTTTTGGATTTTTTTATAACACAGACGGATTATTAACTTTAGCTCGCCGTACACACTGCCTCAATGTATTGCCCTGTCCGAACAACAGAACCCTGGACCCAGTGGCAGAGCCAGATTCATGTCCGAGAGGGTGGGCGAATATCTGAGATTGCCCGAATTTCTAACCTAGTTATGAGATTTTTGCCCGAAAAACTTGCTTTCGGGGCTGCTAGGGGGTGGGGGGGGGGGGGGCTACCCCCTCTGCCTCCCCCCTTTGGCTCTGCCACTGCCTGGACCTGTAGGTTAACGATGTCAGGTTTCGCGTAAATTTATTGTGGTGCCAAACCATACATTATTATTATATTAAACAAGTTCTAAGAATTATTCTCGACTGAAATTATCTGTTGAAGGTTGAATTTGTTTAAAAAGCTATAATGTTTGCGTCTACTATGGTACTTTATTATGTTTTCTTTGTCAAAAATAAACATCATAAATTCAATAGCGTACCAGTTCTCTCTTATATCAATATGTTTTAACTTCAAACGATTAAAACAGTAAGTGAAATCTATATAACAACCGACTACTTCAATATGATTGATAACGAGTCGTCACTCAGTACTCTATTTTCTTTCCTCGAAAACACTGACAGAGGTTTTTAATATCGTTTTTAAACGAATAGTACTATTACACGATGTGTTAAAACTTTAAATCAGGAGATATGTTGAATTGAAATAAACAAAATAAAGTACATACATAAAATATTTCTCTTAGTGGCGTATTTCGGGGGCCCACTTTAGGGCCACGCCCCTTCCCCCATCCCCATATGCCAGTGAAAATCCCTTTTTTAAAATTAAATGCTCAAACCTATCTGAAATCCTTTGGCTTCCCAGACTCTCGATCTTAAGGGGACACCTCTCATTTTTAGCCCACATTTTCTAGATACGCCCCTTGAAAAGTTGGGGTCAAAATGGGAAATCTCATGAAAACCTATTCAAACACTCCTTATATGAGTAACTGGACATCAATTCTTGACCAAATTATGTTCATGACATTGTAAGGGCCTAGAGATCCTGGCTACGTCATACCACCTACATCCAAATACAGGGTCAAATACCTATTGATGACCGATATACATGCTTGATTGTTTAATGTTAAGTGAGGTGATATAGGTTTATTGTATTATTAGAGAGACAAAATACGTCCTCTTCTTCAAGTAATTCATTCATATACTCAGATATCTAATAAATATTACTCAGTACAAATCCTTCGAAAAACCTGATTAGAACTCGTCTATGACTTTATAAAATAAAATTAGAGTATATTACTCGTTTTATTTGAAGGAAGATATTCGCCATTCTCAGGGATTGATATAGGTCTTGAATATATATATGTAAATAGTCTTCAGAAGTACTAGAGATGTACAAAATTCGCATAATTCCTTCAAAAATATCTCAAACTAGGAATTTCGTTTTCTATTTCTATATATGTCTTTTCTATGTAAGGCTCAAGAAAAGACGACTCGTCTTTTTAACTTTCAAACGAGGATAATTCTGGACACACATGGATTTGAATGATCAAATTTCGACGGTGAGCTGTGAACACTATTACTGATTAACTAAGCTAAAAATGGCGAACCTATCCCTTTAAGAGATTTTTTCAATTTACAGTTGTAGAAAATTAAATTTAGTACAAATATTTTGATAAATGTAATTACATGTATTTAACTAGGCCTATTTTTGTTGAAAATATTGAAGACGGTTATTGAGCTTATTCCATTTTTAGTTCTATAATGCATGTATTCTAAGTGTATACTTATCCCCCTCTACAAGTCTATAATAATAGTATTTATATACAGTAATAAGTATATGATATATATATGACAAAGATTAACTCAGTGGCAGTTTAATATCTATACTTGTCACTTTAAATATCTAACATTCTAGCCAGGTTTGTCGTGTATTGCAAATCCTTCAAATTTAATGAAAACTACGTGAAACTATTTCAGTTGTGCATAATTTTAAAAAGTTAATTTGGGTTTTCTTTTCAACATGAAATACCTTGAATATTTGAAGAATTCCACAATGAATTATATAGATGAATTCCTCAATGTATTATACAGAAGAATTCCTCGATGTATTATACAGAAGAATTTCTCAATGTATTATACAGAAGAATTCCTCATTGTATTATACAGAAGAATTCCTTATTGTATTATACAGAAGAATTACTCGATGTATTATACAGAAGAATTCCTCATTGTATTATACAGAAGAATTCCTCGATGTATTATACAGAAGAATTACTCGATATATTATACAGAATAATTCCTCGATGTATTATACAGAAGAATTCCTTATTGTATTATACAGAAGAATTTCTCAATGTAATATACAGAAGAATTCCTCATTGTATTATACAGAAGAATTCCTTATTGTATTATACAGAAGTATTACTCGATGTATTATATAGAAGAATTCCTCATTGTATTATACAGAAGAATTCCTTATTGTATTATACAGAAGAATTTCTCAATGTATTATACAGAAGAATTCCTCATTGTATTATACAGAAGAATTCCTTATTGTATTATACAGAAGTATTACTCGGTGTATTATATAGAAGAATTCCTCGATGTATTGTACAGAAGAATTACTCGATGTATTGTGTAGAAGAATTCCTCAATATATTATACAGAAATATTACTCGATGTATTATACAGAGGAATTCATATCTGTATTTTA